CAAAGGGGAAGTTTGAAACTTGTTGTTTGATTGCCGGTTTGGCAACCACCTCCACATAGTCGGGAGGGGGGAGATTTGTTGGGTTTGGGCTCCCAACTATGTGTCATCTTTAAATTAAAAGGCCCAAATATTTTTGGAGGATAAGTCTTCAATGCATTTTTGTCCACATATTTTTGAGAGTAAAAGTTTGGCAGCTGTCCAGTACCACAACACGGATATTCACGCACAAAAAGAGAGTAAAACAGCCGCAAGAAGTGAGATAGCCGCTGCCATTTTCAGAAAAACGCAGACCTGGTTTTTTGGTCGATTGGAGGTCCAAATCTTGTCCGATCGAGCTGAAATTTTAGGAGGAGTCTAAGGACTCGTGGAGCTTCAATCTGAACGGTGGAGATCGAATTTCAACGGTTCAATCTCAAGTTATGAGCTTCGCACCAGCTGCTGTTTTTTTGGCGATTTCTTGCACTTTTGTTCCTCTATTTTGATTCTAGTGCCTTCGTAGTGTTGTTAAGGGCTAGATATCATTGTGGTGCTGTTATATTGTGCATTTGTACTCTCAATTTGGTGGTAGTGGAGTTGGTTGGACTGAAGGGTCTCGTGGTTTTTTACTCTTTCACGTTGAAAGGGTTTTCCACGTTAAAATCTCGTGCCTCATATCGCTTTATTTTTCGTGCTTGGATTATCTTGTTGCTTGGTGTTCTTTGGTGTGTTTGTTTGTTGCTCCTCACAGATTCATTCAAGAGGGAAAGGTGTTGATCTTGGGCACTACACATTCATTTGTGTTCTTGCTTTCCCAACAAAAAAAATGTAAATAGTCTCATCCGTTCTGAAGTAGAAGACAATTGCAAAGTTATTATTTCATAATTAAATAAGCAAAGCTAGAATTTTTCTCTTGGCTTGAGTGGTAATTATGAAATTCATTCTCCTAGATTCATAGGAAAACTTACCTAAGTTTGAACTCCAATGGAGGCAAGGCATTGACTCATTGCAGATCATTAGATTGAGAAAAAATATGAACATATACTATATTATAATCGAGTCAATAGTACTAAATAAAGCAGAGATAGGCATACATCAAGGTGTATCGCGTTTGTACATCATCACTCTTTTCACCATACATTCCTTATCCACTCTCCAATCTTTTTAGAGCCATGCTAGGGTAAACTAAAATTTGATGTACCCCATTTGTACACCATAAATCTTCGCCATTTAATCTTTGGAAAAAAACTAAAGTAGGAGTAACATTGAAAGTATTTGAAAATATGATTTTCATATTTTTATTATCGAAATATAAGTTAAAATGTCTAAACAGTGTCAATCATGACCATTTACATTATCAAAGAACATTGTGAAATGTCCATATACTATACAATATCACGTTACCATATTGCAACCTCCTATTTTGGGAATATATAAAAATATGAAACTTCTATTTTGGTACTTTGTCTATGTTTTACTACTCCCTCTGTCCCATTTTAAATTGCCTGTATGCCTTTTTTCTCCATCCCAAAATAAGTTGCATGTTAATTGTTATCGTAAACTTTTAAGAGTAAAATACCTAAACTACCCCTAAAATAAGTCACTCTTCTCCACCTTATCATCTCATTCATCGTCACTCCTCCTAAAAAGTAATAGCAATTTCGAAAAATTAACTCTATTTTTTCTTTTCCTTAAATATGCCCAAAAGTCAAAACAGACGATTTAAAACGGGACAGAGGAAGTACTATTTAGTTTTTGTTTTTTTTTTTGGGTTGGAAAAATTAATTTCTAACTTTTTCCAACTCCTTCAAGTTTTTCCAACTCTTTCTAGTTTCTTCCAACTCCTTCCAGTTTTTTCCAACAATGACTAAAAAAAGTATTTATATACGATGAATAAAAAATAACATTATATATTCAAATTTATAACATACTACTTCAAACATAAACAATGATAAATTTTATTTATCCAGAATTAGAGTTTTCTTACATATGTAATTGGGTAATTATTTAGTTGAGTGACTTTTTAATACTTAAAATTTTCTAACATTTTTCAACTCCTTCTAACATTTTCCAACTCCTTCCAATTTCTTCCAACTTCTTCCATTTTTTTCCAACATCCAACTCTGAAATTTCAACCCAAAAAATATAGCCTTAGGGTGATTTCTTTTATTTTTTATCCATTCTCTTATCTTTTATCCAGACTTTAGATTGTGTGATCGTGATGTAATAGTTTACATTTGGGATACACTTTTTGATATACCTCTAACATTTTTCATATTTTTATCTACTTTCAAAATTTTATGGTAGAAAAACGATTGTGTATACTAGGGGTGAGCAAGTACCGAACCGATACCAAAATTTCCTGAAAAAACCGAGAATACCGAACTGAAAAATACCGAACCGAAAAAGTATCGAGAAGAAACCGAACCGTACCGAACGGAATAGTCGGTACGGTATTTGGGAACGGTACGAGGTGACGTCCCATACCGAAAATCCCGAACCGAACATATATACTAAAATATTATAAAAAATAATACCCCGGAGTAATATTTTTCATATTCCTTCACTGAATAATACTTTTTTAAAAAATATTGGTTCAAGTTTTATTATGTGTAAGTTATACTTTTATTTGAGTTTTAGTTTTAATTTTGTGTATGAACATAGAAGTATTCACAAAGATTCGAAAACCCTTTGTTGTCGTTCATTTTTTTAGTTTGTGAAATGTAAACTAAGTTTTGATACGCATCTCTTGCATTTAAATATTCATTTTTTAAATTTTCATATTTTTTTAATTTAAATTCACTTTTAATTTTCAAAAATAAAGGGGCGTTGTTAAATTTTAAGGTGTAAAGTAGGTATGTATATTTATCACGATTTGTACCGAAACCGAACGATCCTGAATCATACCAAACCGATATGTCGGGATCGGAATCGGTATGGAGTAAAATCTCATACCGAACCGAATTATTTGGTACGGTATCGATACGGGCTAAATACCGTACCATACCATACCATGCTCACTTCTAGTGTATACTTGAGGTTCATGTTTCGGTGTATACCTAGAAAAGTTAGGGGAATTGAATTGGATTAACATTTTGATTAGGAAATTTTAAATTTTAAAATCTGCCAATTTAATGAATAGGAAAATAGTCTTAGGATAACTCGAAAAAGAAATTGAAAACATGATTTAGTTTTTATAAGAATAAGGTTTTTTTATTATTACTACTTATTTTTAGTGTAAAAAACGTATCTTATACTTCCACCGTCCCAAAAAAAATTTACACGTTTCATAATTTTTTTGTCCCATTAAGAATTACACTTTTTCCTAAAAAGGACATTTCTACCCTTAAACCTAATATCTACCCAACCCTCAAAAGTCAAACCCCAGTTACCCCACCCACTATTATATTAGTATGTGTACTTCACTTGCTATATTATCTTGTTTTACACTATTCATGGAGTACTTTTACATTAGGGTAAGGGGTAATATGGGGAAGTCAAAGGAAAAATATGCTTTCCTTATTTTGCTTAAAAGTCAAAATGTGTAACACTTAATGGGGGACGGAGGGAGTATTATTTTAAAACAAGTTTTGAATGATATACATTGTTATCTTATAGAGTACTTTTTTTCAAAAGTGGTATATATACATTAAATTTTTTACATTATTCATAATGTTGTTAAATAAACAAAAAGAATTTTATAAACAAAAGTTATTGAGATAATGTAATTGTGACAAAAACATCCATTTTAAAACTAAGGAAATAATATTATTCTTATTATTGCATAAACTTATAACTCACAATGTCACATTTGGTTTAGAACTCCATAAAGAAAACAAACTGAAACATCTTAAATTACTTAAAACATTACATAATAAAGCTGATCGATCCGATCAAATTTGGTAATGTGTATGCAATAAGCTCATCAATCATGCAAATATTCAGTAATTATCTCATTGGCAATCAAACGGTATGCCGCTTCCGTCAAATGAATTCCGTCCCAGCTAACATACTTTGAAGGGTCAGCACACACCGTTGATCCTTTCACACCACATGGAACTGAGGCGTCATAGTTATATGGACCCTTTCCTCCACAGCATGCAATTGTCGCATTTCCAAATCCTGTCACACATCACGTACCAAAAACTTTTTCTCGTTTTTATTAAAAAGTCACTTTATCCATACTAATTCTTAGCACACCTATCAAGTTCTACTTCTTACCCATCACATCAAAGAACATTTTTGGAAACTCAACACCAAATTATATTTCCCTTTTTAAAAATCAAAACATCTGATATTTTTAGGGACATATGGAGTATATACGATCAACTTTACCATTTGAAAAGAAAGAAACAAGCAAGTTATAGGATCTAAAAATAGGGTTAATTACCAAATTTAGCAGGAACACTATAGAACTTCATTGCGGCATTGAAGTAATCGGCGTAGATAATTTTGACGCGTGAATCGGAATGGAGCTGGCGAAGGCGGTTGAGTTCTTCCTGGAGTTGGGTATTATGTTGTTGAGCGAAGTTGTTTAGCCAGTTGAGGCAACCAGTTTTGGGGTAATCGCTTTTATTAGGACTTTGGAATTTGGTGAGGTATGCAGCCGAGCACCCAATGGGCAGATTCCCTGGAACCACCACTGTTTTAGCTCCTTGACTTATTAATCTCTGCATCGGACATGAGAGATTGCCACATTATTTGCAAAGTTATTTAATGGTGAGTAAGTTAAGAAATAAGAAGTGTAATTATTCAACAAATAGAAGATGGAATTATAAATAAATACTTGATCCGTCCCAAAATTAACTTCATCTTCAATTTTTTTCCTTCATATTTTTAAATAAGGGGGCGTTTGGTGACATTAGTCCCTCGTATCATCATATGACATGGGTCTGGATGGGAGCACCTACGGTGCATCGTTTGAAAAATTGATGGTTCTTATCTTTTCTTAAAATTTAGTTGATTTTAATGCTAAATTGAGTTTAAGTATCAAAACAAATTGAAAGTTCATGTACAAACTTAGAATTTTCTCAGCAAAACATATACTATATATATATATATATATATATATATATATATATATATATATATATATATATATATATATATATATATATATATATAGACACACACTCACTCACCTCAATAGCAGAGCTTATGGCTTTGATAACATACGGCACTAACTTTTCAACGTCTTCCTTGGACTGGCCATCCAAGAAGGGACCGTTGTAGTCATTTCCTCCTATTTCTCCCATTAGAATTAGAGAATTCCCAATATATACTTCGCAACCTATTTAAACATGGTACACATAATTTCGTTACATATAAAATTAACAACCATGCTAGGGGTACATGAAAAAGTGTAGCCCAAAGAAATGTACTAACATTTTAATTGTTTACACTAGTACTGAAAAATAGAAAATTGAAGTAGAGAGTTCCCAATAGATATACTCCGTACTTCGCAACCAATATGAAAAAAAGCTATGCCTATATTATTACCCAATAAGTAACAAATATATGAAACAAGTGTTACGGGGTAATATTTAACCTATGAATAAAACTCCATCCGTCCCAGAAAATTTTTCCGGTTTTGACTTTTGGGAAGGAAAGATTAGAAGTTTGACAAAGGTGAAACGACGATAGTTGAAACAAGTTGAGCTTGAGAAATATCAAAACGGGTAGAGCGTAGAAGGTATTTGAAATACGTTTGGTTAGCTTTAAAAAAATAAGGGCAATTGTGTCCATTTAGACAAAATTGAAACATTTTATGGAACGGATAAAAAGTGAAAGTTAAAATGTTTTGAGAGACGAAGGGAGTATACATGAGACGGAGAGAGTAACAAATAATTTTAGCGTGTTAATAGTAAAAATAAAATTTGCTAAAGGGCATTATAAAAAAATTGCTGAGGGACGACAGGTGAACAAGCTAAGAATATTTTAAGATAATTAACAATGATGTTTTAAGATGTTAAAAGTTTAACATTAATACGTATCAAAGATTACAAATTGATCATAGGCAATCATGAAAAGATGGGGGTAAATGTAAAATGAAAAATAGCCCTAAATAGGATAGAGTAAAATATACGGAGTAGCATTTATTTTCAAAGGAGTAGCATTTATTTTCAAAATATGAGTTTTATATTTTATTTTCAAAGTAGAAATTTGCACTGCGTCATTGTGGCACTGCATAATAATATCTCACTATACTTTTTCGTATTACATATATACTACTTCCGTTTCTCAAAAGAGTTCCTCTTTTGACTTTGGAGGAAAATAAGGAAGTGTTAAATTGTAGTTGACTTTCCAATTTTGCCCTTGATGTGATGGGTAAAAGTAAGATGTGATAGTTTAGTTGTTAGTGAAAAAGTATGATGTGATAGGTAGGGTATGAAAAAGTAGGGGTAAAAGTGGTTTTTTAATAGAAAGGGGAAGTGTTTTAAGAAAAACAAAAAAAATGAAAGAGGAAGGGTTTTAAGAAACGGAGGGTACATT